TTATAAACTTATCTTTCAACACAAAAACTCCATTTGTTCTGAATCTATGACTTGGCAGATCCTAGCTTTACACAGAACATCTGCTTACTATGTCTTCATGAAGTAGGGAGAATAATGTCCATTTCAAAGATCAGAAAACTAAAACTCTAGAAGGGAAAGTGATTTGGGATCCCGGGGACCAACTGCTAGTGCAAGACCAGACCAGGACATGCTTGTTAATATGAACTTGTAATCATTTTCTAGTTGGTGCTGGATGTATGCCTTTTCTCTCCTGATCAGAATTATTAAGTCCTTTAGGGATATAACGTGGTTAAATTTTGTGCCCCTCCCAGAACCTGGAACAGGGTTCACTTCACTGTCAAGTACATAAAGCAAAACTTGGAGTCTGCCAGCCCCTTTCTCAGAAGCTGTGTTTCTCATTTATTACCAAAGAAAACCCAACCCAAATCTTTGGCTTGATATCAAAAACCCTTACAACTGGCCCTAATCTCTTCTTCAAATATTTTTTCTCAGGATTCCCTTAAACAAAATCTTCATTTCAGCCAAATAGATGTGTTCAGGGTTTCCCAACTCTGCTATGGGACTTCCTACCCCAGTGCCTTTGCATATACTCTTGCCTCAGCTTGGTCCATCCTCCCCTCCCTTACTCCCTGCCTCCACTCCTCTTCACCTACTTACCTCACTTGGGAGACAAAGGCATAACCAGATTCTACTGCCAGAGAGTGTACTTCTAGGAATAGGGCTACAGGGTGTATGACTATGCAATTGAATATTTAAAAAGCAAACATAAAAATAATGTTTTACCTTTCTACCACCTTTTCTGCACATAACACAGTCTGATCACTGATATGTCAATCATACACTCTACAATTTTTCTGCTAATTTTTTTTTTTTTTTTGAGACAAAGTTTCAATCTTGTCACTCAGGCTGGAGTGCAATGGCATGATCTTGGCTCACTGCAACCTCTGCCTCCCATGTTCAATTGATTTTCCTGCCTCAGCCTCCCAAGTAGCTGGCATTACAGGTGCCCGCCACCACACCCAGCTAATTTTTGTATTTTCAGTAGAGACAGTGTTTCGCTGTGTTGTCCAGGCTGGTCTCAAACTCCTGACCTGTGGTGATCTATCCACCTCGGCCTCCCAAAGTGCTGGGATTGTAGGCATGAGCCAATGCACCCAACCTCTGCTAACATATTTTAGTATAATCTTAATGACAATATGTCAATAAACATTACCTTTAAATGCTAAAAACAAACCCCTTTGGAGAGGAGTTTGCTTGGGAAGAGTACACACTTCTGTTTCCCCCCTCCCTGGCCTCTCCACTGTGTTTTTGCTTGGCTACTGTCCCTTCAGCTGAGCAGTGTTCTTTATCTTCCCAGCACCAAGTTAGGGCCCTCTGTGTCCTCATAGTCTCAGACTGCCCTGTCATAGCACTGACTAAGTGAATTGTAATTGTATTCTGATATTTCATCTTTTCAGCTAGATTGTGAGCTCATAAAGGGTAGAGGTTGTGAATATTTATAGCCAGGAACCAGCATCATGCCTGGCACAAGCAGGTATCAGGAAATATTTAATGAAATTCAAGAGTGACCAGGAGCACCTCGTTCTCTTCGTTGCTTACACTGTCACCGCTCCTTCCCTGGAAGGGCAGCGGCTCCTGGGGAGAGCTGCTCTCAGCCTCGTACAGGTCAAAAGGCCACTGCTCACGTATCTGTGAAGCACGTCTCAGTCTCACCAGAACAGATGACATACATGCAAATAGCATGTGTGATATACACCAGCTCCCCCCGCGCGACCTTATCGCTGCATCCGGCTGCTGCTGCTGACTTGTGTTTCGTGTCACATCTTGGGAAGAGGCGTCTTGATTTGCCAGCAGTCTTGTTTGCTTGAGTTGTGCACCTCTCTGGGGTGGGCCTGAAGTGAAACAGCCAGAAAGGAGCTCTTTTCACCCAAATAAGCTGTCGAATTACTGATGACTTCACATGCCAAGAGGCTTTGATCAGGATTTCTGCACCGGGCCTTGTATAACCAGCAACACTTCAACCAGACTGCATTTCATTAGGATGGAAGCTCAATACGGGCTGCTCTGGATTCTTTTTTTTTTAAAAAGTCATTTAGCTGGTAATAGCTTGCACAGAAAGAGATGGTTCATTTAGCTCTGCTTCTTGTCCAGCTTTGTGGGGAAGCAAGCCTGTACTGTGGGAGTGGAAGTTGATATATTTTGTGTTCTCTGGATGCTACTGCAGTGGACCGTGCTTTCCCCACCTGTTTTGCATCCATTAGGAAACCTATATAGGGTTTTGATTGTCAAAGTTTGATTAGGTGCTAGGGTTGGAGCTGACGAGGTAGGAGCAAAGCAAGACCAATTTATCCTGCTAACAGCCATTCTCTAACAAGCTGGTATTTGTTAGAAGGCATTTTCATATGACAAATGTTGGAAATTGTAATGGGCTCTAATAAAGTGTAGTAGGCAATCTGTCAAGCACAGGGCTAACCCCTGTATAACATGGACCACGATGATTGTCTGCAAAGGGATGCTTCTCCCTCTATCAATAAAATCCTAGGGTCCTCTAGGACGAACTAATGAGCTAGTTCCAGGTCACACCCTTGAAGAAAAGGAGATCTGGATCTTCTGGAAGTGAGGCTGAATTTGTCTTATGGTATGTGAAGATTGTGGATGATTCTGGCAAGGATGGATATGAGATTTGGTGCAAATCACTTACTGTGTCTTGCAATTTTACCATCTTAACTTAAAGAGAGGAGATTATAAAAAGGGGTCTGGGTAACCCTCAATTCTGTGACTCTAAGTCCCTCTTCCTGTTGGGATCTGTGTCATTGGCTGGAAAGGGCCCTGGTCAGAGGTTTGGGTAGACTGGATTTGGTGCCTGCTCTGCAGCTCCTAGTGATGTGAGTGTAAGGGTTGAACAGTGATCCCCCCAACCAGAGACGTGTCCACATCCTAATCCTGGAATCTGTGAATGTGATCTTATTTGGAAAAATAATGTTTGCAGATGTCATGAAGTTAAGAATTCTGAGATGGGGAAATCATCCTGGATTATCTGAGTGAACCCTACATCGGATGGCACATGTCCTTATAAGAGAGAGGCAGAGGGAGATTTGACATAGACAGAAGAGAAGGAGGCAAGATGACCATGGAGGCAGAGATGGGAGTAACGTAGCCTCAAGCCAAGGAATGCAGGCTACCACCAGAAGGTGGAAAAAGCAAGGAGCATAGTTTCCCCTAGAGCCTCAGGAGGGAACACCCACTGCTGACACATTGATTTTTGACTTCTGGCCTCCGGAACTGAGAGAGAACAAATTTCTGCTGTTTCACAGTCACCAAGTTGTGGTAATTCACTACAGTGACTGCAGTGAGTGTGAAAAGTATTGAATTGCTCTGAGTCTGTCTCTTCCTTGAAAATGTCGAATGAATAACTCTGACCTCACCATGCAGTTGCTAAGAGGAAATTCTACATTAAAAAAATGCCCAGCATCATGCCTTGTGTATCAGAGATGCTCAGCACGGGTCGTTAAAAGGAGAAAAAAGCAGCATTAGCATTTACTGGAATGCGATCCAGTCAGGATGCTGGAGTTGCAAGGGACAGAGCTACACAATGAACTAGCTTAGGTGTGGTTGAGAATTTATTGGGAGGTCCCTGTACCCGCAGAAAAGCAGATGTACAAGTAAGCTCCAAAGAAAATAAAAACCAAAGAGGCCAATACCCTCAGAATTCTCTCTCGGCCTCTCTCTGAGGGCTGATGGCATTAACACTCTCTGCAGATGGACTTTCATGACCCAGCGAGGGTTCAGCATTTCCTACAGCTTCTGGCTCACGTTTTTACAAAAGTGACACTGCCGATCTTGGAAAGCCTCCCAGGAGGGATTCTGATTGGTCAGGCTGTGCTTAACCCAGAAGAGAGGAGAGGGCTGAGCAGATGAAGCCATAGCTGTCCACTTCCTTGCATCGGGCACAGTTTAGGAATGCAGAATACAAATATTGCTTTTAGCAAGCATCATCCTTCCCAGTTTGATTAAATTGTTTGGTGGAAATATTCAGAGACAGAGATGTTATATTTTAAAATATAGCACCTGATTGGGTAACCCAGCCTATTGTAGCTTCCTTTCAGCAGATCCCTCTCCTTGTGTTTCCAACACACACACACTGAAGGGAGGAGGAGAGAGGAAGGCTTGAGTTGTAGAGCAAAAATCGCTTGGCTGGGCTTATGGGATTTGTGTCAAGTTCTGGATTTGCTGCTAATTCTCTAGGTCCCAGTTTCCTCCTCTGTAAAATGGAGGCTGAGAAAAACTTTTTCTTTTTTAACTGAAAATCTCTCAGGTCCCTCAAGGTCTCCAAAGGTATCGATGGAAGACCTCACTTTCATATTGTAAAAGAAGCTGTACATGTACACATGGTCATGAAATCAACAAGCATCTTTATTACAGACTGGACATACCCCAAGGTGGTCACTCTGGCTATTTTATTCTTATTATCAGTTATTCAAATCTGTGCTTCATAAAATTTGGAAGAAATTAATTATTCCATAATAAGTGTAATTTAAAAAAAAACTGAAAACCTCTCTTAAGACACGTGGACACAAGGAAAGAGACAGGCATAGGAAGAGGAGGGTAGGAGCAGTACAAATCTGAGACTCAGAGAGGTGGAAAGGTTTGCTGAGAAGTCAACCGAGGGGTGAGGTGGGGCATTGGGGCTGGTCAGTCTGACTTCAGATCCATGCAAAAGCCCCAACACCTTGATGTGGGTTAAATCCCTTCCCAGCTCTGGTAGGGGTCATGTTCCAGACCCTCTGAGGCCCTCCTTTCCCCCACCTCCTCCTCCCATCTCCTGTTCAGTGCAGAGTCAGCACACGCTGACCCAAGTCACTCTCCAGGAACCTTCTAAATGGCCAGCCTTGGGAGTAGCATGACTAACCCATAAGGCATTGCCAGGTAATTAACTTCAAGTGTTTGCCTAATTAAGCAAAATGTAGAGCATAGAGCGCATGAATTCTTTCAACACTACAGAGGATGGAGGGCCTGGGTTAAGTCCAGAGGCTGAGGCAGACTCCATCCCCAGGCTTGCTCACTCCCAGAAGGAGCCAGATGAGTGGCAGCAGCTTGTGGCACCTCTGCACCTGGATGCAAGTATTACTTTCTTTGGTATCCCTCATCCCCTCCTCCCTGAATCATTTGTCTTCCTCTCTAAAGTGTTTCCATGGTACCATGTTTGTCTTTCTAACAAATGACTAATTACATACCATATTATCATTGTTTTATTTTTCTGTCCCTGCCAGACTAAGCTTCTAGCTCAGGGGACGAGGCAGGCTCACAAGAAATAGTGACTAAAGAAGTGAGTGAGTGAATGAATGAATGAATGAATGAATGAATGGAAAAATAGACCTATTTCTTCTTTTCCTCCTTTGCCTGGTGCTTAAATGACTTGGTGTCAATTTTCTTAAGGGACCTGCCTACTAAACAAATCCCTCATATGCATGTAGCAAGACCAAACTCTGAAATGTGTTACTCATACTCAGAGAATGCCACTGTCATTCAGAGTCTATCAACTTTCTTCACAAGATAAGCAAAATCTCTCCTGGAGCTTTTGACTTTCCATGAGTTTCACCAAAGGCTATTCTAGGTTTGTTACAAAAGACCTCACAGGACTTAATAGGCATTTACAAAACATTTCATCGAACAGCTGCAGATTACACGTTCCTCTCATCAGCAAGTGGGACACTATGGAGGAAAGACCACGTGTTAGGCCAAAACAAGTCTCAACAACTCTTAAAAAACCCTAAATCATATAAAGTATCTTTTCATATCTAATGAAATAAAACTAGAAATCAGTAACAAGAGGAATTTTGGAAACGGTACGAATACTAAAAATTGGTTGCGAGTCAGGTATGGTGGCTCATGCCCATAATCCCAGGACTTTAGGAGGCCACAGCAGAAAAATTTCTCAGGCCCAGGAGTTTCAGATCAGCCTGGGCAACAAAATGAGATCTCTGTCTCTGCAAAAAATATGAAAATTAGCCAGCAGCCAGACAGGGTGGCCCATGCCTGTAATCACAGCACTTTGGGAGTCCGAGGAGGGTGGATCACTTGAGGTCAGGAATTCGAGATCAGCCTGGCCAACATGGCAAAACCCCACCTCTACTAAAAATGCAGAAATCAGCTGGGCATGGGGGAATCGCTTGAGCCTGGGAGGCAGAGGTTGCAGTGAGCTGAGTTCATGCCACTATACTCCAGCCTGGACTATAGAGTGAGACTCCATCTCAAAAAAAAAAAAAAGAAAAAAATTAGTCAGGTATGGCGATGTGTGCCTATACTCCCAGATAATTGGGAAGCTGAGGTGGAAGGATCAATTAAGCCCAGGAATTTGAGACTGCAGTAAGCTATGGTTATGCCACTGCAGTCCAGTCTGGGTGACAGAGCAGGACCCTGTATCCAACAAAAGAAGAAGAAGGAAGAAGAAGAGGAAGAAGAAGAGGAAGAAGAAGCAGAAGGAGGAGAAGAAGGAGAAGAAGGAGGAGAAGGAGGAGAAGAAGGAGAAGAAGGAGGAGAAGGAGGAGGAGGAGGAGGAGGAGAAGAAGAAGAAGAAGAAGAAGAAGAAGAAGAAGAAGAAGAAGAAGAAGAAGAAGCAGCAGCAGCAGCAGCAGCAGCAGCGGAGGAGGAGGAGGAGGAGGAGGAGAAGGAGAAGACACAAACAGATCAAATCCTATGGGATATAGCAAAAGTGGTATTAAGAGGGAAGTTTATAGCAATAAAAGGAAACTGGTAAATTCCTGGACACAAATAACCTACCAAGATTGGACCAGAACTAAATAGAAAATCTGAACACACCAGTAACAAGTAAGGAGACTGGGTCAGTAATAAAAGTCTCCTAACAAAGAAAAGCCCAGGACTGAATGGTTTCACTGCTGAATTCTATCAAACCTTTAAAAAATAACTAACATCAGTTCTTCTCAAACTATTTCAAAAAATTGAAGAGGAGGGAATTTTCCCAAGCTCATTCTTATGAAGTCAGCATTATTTGATATCAAAGCCAAGCAAGGGCACAATTTAAAAAAAAAAAGAAAACGGCAGGCTACTATTCCTGATGAACATAGATGCAGAAATCCTCAACAAAATATTTGCAGACTAAATCCAACAGCACATTAAAAAATTATACACCATAATCAAGTGGGATTTAGCCCCAGGAATGCAAGAGTGGTTCAACATATGCAACTCAATAAATGTGATACCTCACATCAACAGAATGAAGTACAAAAATTATATGAGTATCTCAATAGATGCAGAAAAAGGATTTGGTAAAATTCTACATTCCTTCATGAAAAATCTCCCAACAAATTAGGTACAAAAGGAACATACCTCAACTTAATAAAGGCCATATATGACAAACTGACAGCTAATATCATACTGAATGAGGAAAAGTTGAATGCTTTTCCTCTAAGCTTTTTGGAACAAGACAACAATGCCCACTTTCCCAAACTCTTATTTAACACAATACTTAGACAAGACAAAGAAACAAAGGCCATCCAAATTGGAGAAATGGAGGTCAAACTGTTCCTGTTTGCAGATAACTTGATCTTATAGATAGAAAAACCTGAAAACTTCACCAAAAAAAATCTCTTAGAACTAATAAACAAATTCACTAAGGTTGCAGGATAGAAAATCAACGTATAAAAATTAGTAGTGTTTTTATACACCAATAACAAACTAGATAAAAATGAAATCAAAAAAGGAATTTTATTTGTAATAGTTAAAAAAAAACTTGGCCGGGCGCGGTGGCTCAAGCCTGTAATCCCAGCACTTTGGGAGGCCGAGACGGGCGGATCATGAGGTCAGGAGATCGAGACCATCCTGGCTAACACGGCGAAACCCCGTCTCTACTAAAAACACAAAAAATTAGCCAGGCGTGGTGGCGGACGCCTGTAGTCCCAGCTACTCGGGAGGCTGAGGCAGGAGAATGGCGTGAACCCGGGAGGCGGAGCTTGCAGTGAGCTGAGATCCGGCCACTGCACTCCAGCCTGGGCGACAGAGCGACACTCCGCCTCAAAAAAAACAAACAAACAAACAAAAAAAAACTTAAGAATAAATTTAATGAAGAATGTGAAAAATCTCCACAATAAAAACTATAAAATACTGACGAAATAAATTGAAGAAGACACAAACAAGTGGAAAGACATTCCACGTTCATGGATTCAGAGAATTAATATTATCAAAATGGCCATACTACCTAAGCAATCTACGGATTCAGTGCGATTTCTGTGTTCGCAAAAATAGAGAAAAAAATCCTAAAGTTTGTATGGAGTGACAAAAGACTATCTAAAGGAATTCTAAACAAAAGGAACAAAGCGAGTGACATCACACTTACTGGCTTCAAAATACACTACAAAACTATATCAAAACCATATGTACTGGTATAGAAAGAGTCACATAGACCAAGGGAAAAATAGAGAGCCCAGAAACAAATCCACAGACTTACAGAAAACTGATTTTGTAAAATGGTGCCAAGAACATGTATTGAGAAAAGGACACTGTTTTCAAAAAATGGTGCTGGGAAAACTGAATACCCATATCCAGAACCAAAAAAAAATTAAATGAAATGAAAATGATACCTTTTTCCACGCATAAAAATGGACTCAAAATGGATTAAAGATTTAAATGTAATCTCTGAAACTATGAAATTACTAGAGGAAAACATAGGGGACATGCTTTAGGACATTGGTCCAGGAAAATGTTTTATGAATAAGACTTCCAAAGCACAGGCAACAAAAGTCTATTTCAACCAGTGGATTCATGTCAAGTCAAAAGTTTCTGCACACCAAAGGAAGCAATCAACAGAGTGAAGAGATAATCTGAAGAACAAGGAAAAATATTTGTAAACTATTCCTCCAACAAGGGATCTAAAATATATAAGGAATTCAAATGACTCAACAGAAAAAAAGAAATCCCTTTAAAAAAAATGGGCAAATGATCTGAAAAGACATTTCTCAGAAAAAGACACACAAAGGACCAAGAAGTATATGAAAAAATGCACAATGTGACTAATAACCAGGGAACTGTAAATCAAAACCACAGCAAAATATTATATTTCCCCAGATAGAATGGCTGTCAACAAAAAGACAAAAAGTAACAAGGGAACTTATGTATTGTTGGTTGGAATGTAAAGTAGTACAGCCATTATGGAAAACAATATGGAGGTTCCTCAAAAAACTACAAATAGAACTTCCATATGAAACAGCAGTTCCACTACTGGGTATTTATCTAAAGGAAGGAAAATCAGTATATTAAGGAGACATCTGTACTCCCATGTTTGTTGCAGCACTATTTACAATAGCCAAGATATAAAACCAACCTGTTGTGTCCATCAACTGATGAATGGATAAAGAAAATGTGATATGTATACACAATGGAATATTATTCATCCATAAAAAACAATGCAATCTTGTCATTCACGGCAACATGGAAGAACAAGGAGTGCATTATGTTAGTGAAATAAGCAAGGTACAGAAAGACGAGCATCACATGTTCTCATTCATATGTGGGAGCTAAAAACGTTGATCTCATAGAAGTAGAGTAGAATTGTGGTTACTAGAGGCTGGACAGGGTAGAGTAGGGATAAGAAAATGTTGGTTATTGACTAGAGAATTACAGCTAGATAGAAAAAATAAGTTCCAGTGTTCTATAGCACTGAAGGATGACTGCAGTTAACAAGAATTTGTTGTATATTTTCAAACAGCTGGGAGAGAGGATTTTGAATGTTCCTATCACAAAGAAATGAAAAATGTTTGAAATAATGGGTATGTAAATTACCCTGGTTTAATCACTACATATTGTATACCTATATTAAAATATCACTCTGTACCCCATAAATAGGTCAAATTATTACATGTCAATTAAAAAAAATTTTTGGCCAGGCGCAGTGGCTCACACCTGTAATCCCAGCACTTTGGGAGGCCAAGGCAGGTGGATCACATGAGGTAAGGAGTTTGAGACCAGCCTGGCCAACATGGTGAAACACCGTCTCTACTAAAAATAACAAAAATTAGCCAGGCTTAGTGGCAGGTGCCTGTAATCCCAGCTACTCAGGAGGCTGAGTCAGAAGAATCATTTGAACACAGGAGGTAGAGGAGGTTGCAGTGAGCTGAGATTGTGCCGTTGCACTCTAGCCTGGGCAACAAGAGCAAAACTCTGCCTCAAAAAAATAAATAAAAATAAAAAATTTTCAAACCCTCCCAGATCTTGTAGGGGAAGTGCAAAATGGTCTTTTTCACTAGACTGATCGCTCCATGAAGGCTGAGGTCATGTCTTTATTTGTTGCTCTAACTCCAGGTCTTACCACAGAGCGTGGCACATAGAATGCAATACTTATATACATACCCACACACATATATACACATACATCCCCCCACATATACATATACACATACACGCACACACACATATATATATTTCATATACGTAAACTCTCCAGTCCCTAATCCCTGCTTCAGGTAGAGAATTTCTGTTTTTATCAGGCATCTGAATATGAGTCTTTCTGAAAAAAGAGTTCTGCTGTGCCACATAAATTTGACCGTCATTCACTGGACTAGATAATGCCTTAGTGCCCTTCCAGCTCTGACAGTCATCAAATTAACACCTGGTCTCATTTGTATAGGTGAAGGATCCACCGAGGATAGGTTTATAGTAATTTGTTATTTATATTATCTTGTGATATTCTTTTCCGATAGTCAAGTAATCCCAAATAGATGACAAAAACTAAATGTATTTTATTTTCAATCTTCTCTTGAGCTTCTAAACTTGGAATCTGTGTGCTTGAAGCAGTAAAGAAATCTCCAAAGAGGCTCCTGTTTGGCCCGTGTTGATCTGTTCCGCTCCAGCTCAAAGGCAGTAGCAGCAGATAACAATCAGCAATGCTTGCAATTCATAGCCATTGCCACATGACTGTTGCCCTAACTGGCACCAGCGTTCAGGCTGTAAAACATCTCCATCCATTTTTCTGTAATGGAATAGACAAAAAATGTTATCTTCCTAATATTGACACCAGAATTCTTCTAAGGAAGGGAATAGCCTTTGTTTGAGAAAAGTATCTTTGTCAGTGTTTGTGAGAAGAAGTTGAGGTGTTGAAAGTCAAAATATTGGCTGGCTGAAAGTTCCAGAGGCATGTGTATGTGTAGATATAGAAAGTTGTTCTATATACAACAAGGAGTGAATTTGTTGCTCCAAAGTGGGAAGTTGGAGGGATGAGAGAAGAAAGAAGAAAGAAATGGGGAGGAACGGGTGCTGAGGCTCATGCCTATAATCCGAGCACTTTAAGAGGCCGAGGCAGGTGGATCACAAAGTCAGGAGTTCGAGACCAGCCAGGCCAATATGGTGAAATCCCGTCTGTACTAAAGATACAAAAAATTAGCCGAGCTTGGTGGTGTGCACCTGTAATCCCAGCTACTTGGGAGGCTGAGACAGGAGAATCGCTTGAACCTGGGAGGTGGAGGTTGCAGGGAGCCGAGATCATGCCATTGCACTCCAGCCTGGGTGTAAGGACAAGATTCTATCTCAA